TTTGCTTCTGATAGATGAAGCAGCCGCTGTGGGGACCCCCAACAACGGCTCAGATGATGCTGCTGCTGCAGCAGCAGCAGAATATACAGTAGCAGCAAGCGTTGCAGCAGTTGCTGCTGCAGCAGTTGCTGCTGCAGCAGCAGCAGCATTTACATTAGTAGCATGTGTGCTGCTGCTGTAGCACCTGATGCAACAGCTGTTGCAGCAGCAGCTGCAGCAGCATATACAGGAACAGCAACAGCCGCTGCTGCTGCTGCTGCATTTGACAGTTCCCTTTATTAATCAGTGTTATTACTTGCTGCTTTATTTATTTATTTATAAATAAATAAATAAATAAATAAACTACAATCCACCTGCTGCTGTTGCTGCTGCTGCTTCTGCTGCTGCTGCTGCTGCTTCTGCTGCTGCTGCTGCTGCTGCTGCTGCTGCTGCTGCTGCTGCAGCACTAGGTGAGGAGACAGTCGCAGAGCTGGCATCTTCTCCTTGAGGGGTCATTGCTGTATGTACACTGCGGGCAGCAGACTGCAGCAGACACAGACACACACATACACATTGCTGCTGCTGCTGCTGCTGCTGCTGCTGCTGCTGCTGCTGCTGCTGCTGCTGGGGAAGGGGTGGTGCTGTGGCTGCTGCATACTTTTGCTGCTGCTGCTGCTGCTGCCTTTGCTGTTGTTCCTATTTCCTTTGGCCTTTACATCCGCCAGAGTGAGAGGCTTGCGCTGCCGCTGCTGCTGCTGCTGCTGCTGCTGCTGTTGTTTCTGCTGCTGCTGCTGCTGCTGCTGTGGCGTGCTGCGGCGTCCGTTTGCTGCTTGGAGGGCTGGGAAGGCCTCGGCGAGGTCCGGCACGTTATAGCTGCTGCTGCTGCTGCTGCTGCTGCTGCTGCTGCTACTGCTGCTGCTGCTGCTACTGCTACTGCTACTGCTGCTGCTGCTGCTGCTGCTGCTGCTGCTGCTGCTGGGCTGCAGCTGAGTGTTGCAGACAGCGCAGCGCGTGCGGCCGCGCGGGTTGTTGAAGGTGCAGGCGATGCAGGTTGGGTCTGAGCAGCAGCAGCAGCAGCAGCAGCAGCAGCAGCAGCAGCACCAGCAGATGGAGAAGCAGCAGAAGCAGCAGCAGCAGAAACAACAATAGATGCAGTAGCAGCAGCAACAGCAACAGATACAGCAACAATACATGCATCGACGGAAGCAGCAGATGTATTAACAACAGCAGCAGATACAGGACAGTCTGCTGCTGCAGCAGCAGCAGCAGCAGCAGCAGCAGCAGAGACAACAGCAGCAACAGGACAGCAGCAGCAGCAGCAGAGAAGAAAGCATCAGCAGCACTGTTGCGTACTTATATTAGAGGCGCTAGTGTCTTTGTTGCGGCCCCACTGCTGCTGCTGCTGCTGCTGCTGCTGCTGCTGCTGCTGCTGCTGCTGC